CCACTCCTCGTTTCATAATCGTTTTATTGAATAGACAATACACAGCGCTTGTCGGTTTCTAGCTCTAAAACGATTATGAAACGAGGAGTGGGCGCCGCTTGGAAGAACGGTCGCGTTCTCGCTTGTACAGTAACAAGGAGTTTCGTGTCCATTGTTATTTTCTGACTGTACTGTGGCATATATAAAAAAATAGAATTTTGAAAATTTTCATGCATCCTTTAAACATGGTAGCCTAACATTTAGGTTTCCTAAACCACAATGTTATTTTGAGCTCAATTATCTCGATTCCTAAAAGAGAAACAAAAAATGTGTCAATTGATATAATATTGGCGATAATGGGTTGAACTAGGGTTGTTGCTGGCCGCCAGTGCCAGAGCTAGGGGCCTTCCAATTTCACGTGATTTGCATTAAAAGCCAGCGAAATTTTAAGCAGGCAATAATTGCCTGTTTAAAATTTAAACCGGCGTCAAACGCCGCTTTCTTTTTGAGAATAGAATTTACCTTTTGATTCACCAATATCCTCTCACTGCAGCTTCAATCATAATTATCTCAGTTCTCATGGAGGATACCAGAAAACTGTCCACTGATAAAATGCTCCAAATATCAAGAAAAACATTTTGACAGTTGACAGTTTTGCCATATGTTCCACAAGAAGTCAGATAATTAAGGTTAAAGAGAGAGAATGGGAATTATAAAAATGTTAGAACGAATTTGATACTTGAGAGGTTACCACTGATCTTTCATTAATATTTAATGTGATTATGTCTGAATCGAGGTTTAGTTCAAAAGTATTCGTTTAGGTTTTTAGAATTTTAAGTTGTAAACTTTGAAAATTTTAGCACGACATTGCAGAAACTCCAAACATTGTTCTTGAAAACGATGAAAATAGTGAAATTTCAAAAAAATTCTCAAATCCTGATAATTCGAAGTACAGAAATTTTCAGGTAAGAGTAGAGTTTCATGAAATCCATAAATTTTTTAAAACACACAAATCATAGACTTTTTGAAAGAAAGAAACTCTGCTATTTCGAAAAAAATTTCAGCATTTTCAGACACCAGATTTTCAGAATTTCAAACAGAATTCCAGAAGTAATCATATATTCCGAAGGTCTAAAAATATATATTTCATTCCATTTCACTGTTTCGGATCATCAGTCGTTTTTTTTTCTTTTTCAATCTTTTCTCTATGAAGTATGTTTTATTGAAAAACTCATATTTTAAATACCCGGCGTTTAATGCGAGTTAAAAATTTCACTGGCGATTCACGCCGCTTTAAAAACTGGCACTGGCGGCCAGTGCAAAAATTTCGTGTGGCGCCAGAAAACGCCATTTTGGCCAGCCTACTTGTAATAAATAATTGTTGAAACCGATGGCTGTCTTGCTTTTAAAAATAATCAATAGTGCGAACCAAACCTGGCCCCTGCCGTTATGAGGCCAGAAGTTGGTCGGAAGTTTTTCGGATTTTGGTCTGCTTTAGTAGCGGTCTTGTCCATAATACGACCAAGCAGCGACCAGAAGCCGACCAACTTCCGACCTGAAGTTGCCGATGACACCCGAGTATCCAACAAGATCTATTATATTTTTAGGCTCCTTAAGTTTATAATTTTCAACTAAAAATAGATAAAATTGAATTTGATTGGCACGGTACATTGTATAAATTTCATGTACCACATCAATTTTGTTGTGGCGGATAACCTTAGGTGAATCGAATATTTTTCAGAATTACAGTTTCAGGAAAAAAATTGACCATTGTGGAGAAAGAACTGGAAATGGGAACTTTGGACAGATATATCTCGGTTCCTGTTAAAGGTATTCAGAAATTTTGAAAGCGAACATTTTTGGCTTTACATCAGAAAAATTCCATCAGTTGGCAATGTTTTAATATCACAAACAGGAAACAAGATAATTAGGTTCAAAGGAACGATCTTTTAAAGGAGGCCAGACATGAAAATTTTCAAAATTCTAGTTTTTTGATATATGACATAGTACAGTCAGAAAATAACAATGGACACCAAGCCATAACTCCTTGTTACTGTACAAGCAAGAACGCGGCCGTTCTTCGAAGTGGCGCCAACTCCTCGTTTCATAATCGTTTTTGCGGCACCAGACGACAAGCCCCTTGTGGTGTAGCACAGGTCCTGGGCGCGCATACGCATAATGGATGGGCGACGGAGGACGCGCCGATGAATTGGGTACAGGGAAAGGACGCCGGTATGGGGCATATACGGGGCATATGGGGCACACCGCCGCCGCAAAGCATCTCCTCGCCTGGCTTGCTGGCACTCGATGAAATGAACTAAAACGTTGGTTGGGAGTTCCTAGAAGTATCAGTTAAGTTCTATTGTGATGTGATTTAGTTCAGGTCTTCCGATTTCGTATTTTTCCTTTATTATTCCATATTCTTTTATATTTTGAACGACATATTACTGATTTTTCGAAACTCAATGTTTTGGTTTTGAAAAAGACTTATGGCAGTTTCCATTTAAATTTGATATGCAAATTCATATTTTAAAAATACAATCAAAAACAGAAGAAAATGGGAAAAAATCGCTAAAAATTGGTTTTTTTCATTTCAAAAAATATGTCACACTTTCACTTATTTTGAAATTGCATGAAAAATCGAAAATTTTTATAATTTACACTTTGTAATTATTGTACACTTACCAACTTACCTTGTACTCCACCTGAAAATACGATTTTTACAATAATTACAAAGTGAAATCTAAAAATCTCAATATCATCTATTTTGGCGAAAAACATAGCAATTGACGAGTGAAATACATGTTTCTGCAAGAATTCAGCAATTTTTTAGTCTGCCATAACTCTTTTTCACAAAAAACATCGAAAGAATAATCGAAAAACCAGAAATGTAGGCTTGAATTGACGAAAAATTGACAAAGTTGCCGATGTGGATTTACGGTATGCGCGCATCAGGGATTTCGGAGTGTTGTAGTCGGCCTACCGTATCAGACCCATATCGCACATATCGCTCACCCACCTAGAATCCATCTAGGATACGCGCGCATTCGGAACACTCGATTCAGCCTCTTCCGCATCGCACACATATGAGACTCATCGCAGCTCGTTGTTCGCGATATGTGTCAAACGGACTTCTAGAGGATCACATATGGATCGGGTCCTTTATGCGCATCATCGCCCAGGACCTGTGGTAGTGGGGGGCGCGCTTGGCTTTCAGTCGCGCATCGCGGGTTCGATTCCCATCAGTTCATTTTCGTTTTTCTTTCTGTTTTCATGCGGCGACATCATAGAATGACCGAATAACAAGAAAAAGTAGGGAATAATTGCCAAACAGTGAAGAAATCTAGTGTATTCTAAAAAAAATAAATGCTCGTCAAGTAGCGCGCATTGGTCGCAATCGCACGATTTTCCGTCAGAATACATGATCTTGCTCCAAGAAAACTCCGTAGACTGTCGTGTCTGGCCTCCTTTAAAGAAGTTTCACAGATTTCAAAGTAAAAATTCAAGTTTATTTAAACGTGATGAAAAATAAAAATAAAAAAGAAAGCCCGTGTCAAAAAAATGCTTCGAAAGAGATTTAAAATTCTAAAAAAAACAACAACGTGAATTGGTTTAGAAACCATTGACCTCTGGGAGAGTAATATAAAAGAAGCGGGAAATGAAAGGAAGAATCAGTTCTCACCTTCTCTGGGCTTCAGAGAAGGTGACACGGGGATCCTGGGTCCTAGGTACTGGGTCCTGGATCCGGGTGACCTGGATCCGGGTGACCTGGGCCCGGGTGACCTAGATCCGGGTAACTTGGATCTGGATAACCCTGATCGGGTAACCTGGATCCGGGTGACCTGGATCCGGGTGACCTGGATCCGAGTGACCTGGATCCGGGTGACCTGGGCCCGGATGACCCTGATCGGGTAACCTGGATCCGGGTGACCTGGATCCGGGTGACCTGGATCCGAGTGATCTGGATCCGGGTGACCTGGGCCCGGGTGACCTGGATCCGAATGACCTGGACCAGGTTGACCTGGATGCGGTGACTCGGGTCCGAGTGACCCTAACCGGGTGACCTGGATCCGGGTCACTTGGATCCGGATGACCCTGATCGGGTGACCTGGATTCTGGTGACCTGGATCCGAGTGACCTGGATCCGGGTGACCTGGACCAGGTTGTCCTGGATGCGGTAACTCGGGTCCGGGTGACCCTAACCGGGTGACCTAGATCCGGGTGACCTGTTTATACTTTCAGAATTTTTTTCATTATTTCAGAATTTCAGAATTCCTAATTTTCCAAGATTAACTCTATTTTTTGAACTTCTGGTGTTTTCATAAAAGATGTTGTGTTTGTATTGTGAAAAAACTGGAATATTCCCATTTTTTTAGTGTACAGCTCTTGACATTTCTGAAATTCAGCTGAAAAAAGTTACTTTTTGGTGTTATTTTTGGACAAAAAAAAATGGTGCGACACCCAATATTTGCCCGTGTAGGTTATTTTTTATTTGAAATCGATCTGAATTCCCAACGTTTTCGTATCTATGTTTTACCCCCTTTTGTATATCTTATCGTTCGGCCGATTTCAGCTCATCAATGTTCTCTCCGGTGGAGATAAATTTGTCTTTGTCCGTCTATTCACCAGAAAAATTACAATACAAAATTTCCGTTTGAGAAAGCAGTAAAAATGGTGGATGAGCTCCGCTTTTCTATTCCATCGCTATTTTCCATAATTCTAGATTCTAGTTTTTCAGCAAAAACGCGTCGATTTTGGAAAATTTTGTCTGGGGTCCGTTGTCCGTGAGAAAAATATTCTGTCCGTTGTCCGTGTATGTTGTCCGTAAAACAAAATTTCCTTGACCGTGCAACTCTGGTCCACAAGATCAACTTCTCAAGTGGCGTTTATGAATGAAACTTCAAGAACATTATTTTTCTTATGTCTCATCAGCTTTTTTGAATCTCAACAGTAGATGGTCACGATTATACCTCAAACTTGGGTGATTTATTGAGATAAAAGAAAAAGATAAAGTATAAGAAAAGGAAAGAGAACAAACTAGTCAAAAAATCCGAAAAGATTGAATACAATAAAAGAACAAAAATACTTTTATAGTTTTCAGAAAGGCATAAAAAGATGGGAACGAATGTACTCGGGGGCGATGGGAATGGGAAAGAAAAGAAATAATAAATAATGTATCAAAGATTACAGTTAGAATGGGAAAGAAAGATAAAACATCAAAGATGACAATTTACTTTAAATTGAAGATTTGACAACCTTTAAAGGTTAGTACTGAAATGTTTTTCTCAGAAAGACAAAAATGTCGTTTAACACCACTTTCTTTACTGGAAAACCTATCATTTTCGAATCCCTATTTATTCAGAGCTTACAATCAGCATCTCTTACTTATTTTTACAAAATGTACGAGCATTGGTCAGACTCAATAACAGTTGGATTTGATTACACTGTGGGATTTATATCGTTTGTAGCCAACCTCATCCTGATTTACATCATCCTTAAATACACTCCAGAATCTACAAAAACTTATGCGTTTGTTATTTCAAGTTATTAACCAAAATGTTTTGCAATTTCAGATCAATTATTTTGGCAATCACTATATCCGACTGTTTGAGTTTTTGTGGCACCTTTATGACTTCTGTCAGGTTTAAGAGATGCTTATTAATTGTCTGAAAATCAATTTTGCGATTTCAGGGTCTTGCCACGAAGGGATAAACTAATTTACATTTTCAGAGGATTATGTAAATACTGTTTTAAAGATGACTTAGAGTTTCGAGCTAAATTCTGTCTAATCTGTAAGGCTTACTGGTTGAAAAAAAATGAAATTAGATATTGAAGGGTACGCTCAACATACTCAATTTTATATACTCAATCATATCATTCTGATTTTCTCGTATGTTTATCGTATGCTTATAATCACTAATCCTTTGAAACAAATCGATAGAAGGACTTTAGTTTATTCTATCCTACTCCTTTACTGTCCTCTTCATTTTTGTTATTTCGTAAGAAAAACGATGTCAAAATCAAGATTATTCAATGAATTTCAGAACTGGGCGGCATATATGGCTCTCCAACCAATGGAACTTGTAAGCAAGGAGATTGCGAAATTTGAACCTGATATCGTATATTCAAATGCTACGTATTATGCAATCATCAATCTGTCAGATCCATCTCAAATTGTTTTCCATATTTTATCAGTTTCCTCGGCATCTGTTGCCATTCTTGTCACTCTTCTTTGTCGTTGGAGAGTTATAGCATTCACTCGCAAATATCAACAATCGGAAGCTCTTAAAAAACTTCACAATTCTCTGGAATTGGTTGTTTTTTTTATTTTCAAAGCAAATTGAAAATCGTATTATTTCAGGTTTTCTCTTGTCAAGCTATAGGACCTCTTATGTCCTCTATTGCTTCTCTTCTATACATGTTAGTAGAATTTGGATCATCTGGCGGTACAATGATATTGTTAGAAAACCTTATCGGAAAGCCTTCAGTTATCATGTATATCGTAAACCCAATCGTCACTGTCATTTTCATCACACCTTACAAAATGGTTGTTCTCAGATGGTTCCGTAGTGTTTTCGCCATTTACCCCGATGCACCCGTTTTGATAGACCTGTCCAGATCTGCAACCGGAACTTCATAGACAACTATTTTTATATTTTATTTCGAGCAACATTCAAATCTAATTCTAACGATCTCTCTCTCTCTCTCTCTCTCTCTCTCTCTCTCTCTCGCATGAATGACGTTATTTTCTTCTCTTCCGTACTCAAGAAAATCTCGTATGTAGATGATAAAACATTTTATGAAAATATCCATCGTGTTATTAGATAAAACTTTAAAGAAGTTGTTGATTGTTGATGTGCTCCGAGAAAAGTGACAGCGAACTTATAAGAAAAGGGCATGGAATGATTGAGGATAAATACCAATATGGCAGTTTCTCGTTGTGAATAAAAAACATTATAGGACACATGGAAATACCCAATTATCACACAGATGTTGATTGATAGATTGTTAGTAGCAGTAACTCGGAGGTCTCAATCTACTAATGAAAGCAGGTTGCATGATTGATATGGTAAACTATTAAAAATACTACAACGCATAGTGTGTACATTGATTTCAAAAATGTTTTCGATACTGTTTCCTTCAAAAAGCTCATGCTTAAACTAACATCCTATGGCATAGTCTCTAAAATGCACAACTGGCTTTCCTCTTTTCTCATTGGCAGAACACAACGAGTAATCGTGAATGGCGAGCTGTCCAGAGAGACGGAAGTCCTCTCGGGTGTTCCTCAAGGCTCAGTTCTCGGACCGTGAAAAAAAAGACGTCTTAATAACACTAACAATCATATTTCAATTAACGACGAGAAATTGCTAACTGTTCAGAGGATTCGTGATTTGGGAGTCATTCTCAATTCGTCACTGACCTTCTCTGACCACTTCGCTACCACACTCCGGAAAGCACACCAACGGATTAACATTTTCTTTAATGTTCTCCGCCGGTCTAAAATGGATATTTTCGTAAAATGTTTTGTCATCTACATTCGCCACATTCTTGAGTATGGTACAATTGTTTTCTCCCCCGTCCTCAAGGAGCAAATCAAGCTTCTTGAAGGCGTTCAAAAGTCATTCATGTTCCGATGTTACAAGAAGTTCAACTATCCCTATATATCCTACTTTGATTGTCTCCGTGATCACAATTTAGAATCCTTAGAGTACCGTCGACTTCTATCCGATCTAGTTTTTATGTATAAAACTCTAGTTTCCCGGGAAATTGCAATTGTCCATAATCTATTCATTATCCCGTTTCATCATAATCATCTGAGACGCCACCCATATTACATTCGCTGTACATTAAAAAATGCTTCAAAACTTTCTGCTCAATTTCTTACTCTCCGTATTATATCCTGCTGGAACTCGCTTCCAAAAACCGTGTTCCCACCCTTGATTTCATCCATCTCTTTTTTTAAACTAATTTAAGTCATGTTAATTTATCTTCTTTCGGGAGTACGATGAATTCGAACTTTCGCGAAATCGAACTGTCCCGAAATCGAACTCGTTCGAATTAGAACTGTCCCTTTTTCGAACACGCCCAGAACAGAAACAAGAACGGAATCGAACTTTTCCAACTCGAACTGATTCGGTGTCGAACTGTCCCGAATTGGAACTCTGTTAGCAACAGAGCGCGCTTGCATTACCTTTGAAAATTTCAAGTTTTCTCCAGAAAAAAATCATTTTTACAACAAAAAAAGCATTTTTATTTGAATACAGTGAGGAAAAAACAATTTGAAAATAGAAAATATGTGTTTAAAAAAGAAAGAATTCATGACTTTTAAACAGAATGGCGTCGGAGATGGTGTCTAATAAATTAAGACCAGTCAAAGGCATAATTGGCGGGATTGGCTGATTTATTAGCGTCTTGATGAGTCTCCCGTCCTTCAATGCGTTGGTGAGTTTTCTGTTTCGATTCACCTGAAGTGTAGTAAAAAATCAATTTAGGTGTTCAAGAGTAGAAACAGACCTGGAAATTCGGATTTAGTTTCAACTCGTTCCAATCCATCTTTGTATGTCTTTGTATGCTAACTTCACTACTAACTTCACTTCTGACAAAATCCTCGTCGTGTCTCGCATGCTGATTTTTAACAGTGAACGTGTTGTTCCTTCTGTCGAAAAGATAAGCTGCATCACATCGAGCTCGTCTTTCTCTGGAAAAATATTGTTTTATAGTAATGCTGCAATTTTTTACCGCTCGACACAGTAAAAAAGCTCTGTTCCATTTTTGTTCATTTTTTTGAAACGCATTGCATATCCTTGAACTTGAACGATCGGCTTGTTTTTACGAGAAGCCATTTTCTGTAAAGTTTATATTCTCGAAACGGGAAGAGAAATCCGCAAAATATCCGAAATAAGTGAAAAAAGTTATTTTCTGGAGAAAACATGCAAAATTTGTTGACAAAAATAATTTTAAAAAAGCAAGCGCGCCCTGTTGCTAACAGAGTTCCAATCCGGTACAGTTCGACACCGCACAGTTCGAATTTATAGCAGTTCGATTCCGTTGTTGTTCTGTTCTGGGCGTGTTCGAAAAAGGGACAGTTCTAATTCGAACGAGTTCGATTTCGGGACAGTTCGATTTCGCGAAAGTTCGAATTCATCGTACTCCCCTTCTTTCCTGTTCCTAGACGAACATAATTTCTAACTCATTTGTTTAATTTGTAACACATTAATTTTATAAGTGACTGATAGTCCTGAATCAATAAATTATTATTATTATTAAATTCTGACAGCGGTCCCTGGAACATGGGAAGAAGGATATGGCTCCCGTACCAACAATAGACCTTCCTGCAGGCGTCCAATAATTATAGGAGCACCCTGAAAAATGAAAATCTCAATTTTTAGGGGAGGAAAATTGACACTTTTCTGTTGGAAATAGTTACAGTAGTCTCAAAAAAGTCTGTTTTGACAGATTTTCATTTTTTTTTCTTTTTTTTTCAGAGCTGGATCGTCTATTGATATCCTTCATGCGATTCTGAGCCATCGTTTGTGATTTAAGAAAAACCAATATGACCCAAATTAACATTCGGTAATTCTGACTTTTGTGAAAAAAAACTTGATTTTACTGGTAAAAGTTTTTTTTTGCAATTTACTAACTGCAATGGCAAGTGTAGTGACTAAGAACATCTTTCAATCTTTGACAGTTTTGAAAAATATTTCAATTGAACTTTTTTTTCGGTACCAAGCTCGAGCACAATTTTGAGCTAGGCTCAGTAACACCTCGAACTGTTAGTCTCGTTTCCAAAAAAAATTGATTCCAACAAAATTGGTTCAAAACTGATTGTGAGACGAAAATGTAGGCATTTAAAATTCTAGAATTGAAAGATTTTTTTTTCGTAAGATTACATGATCTCAAAAATTTTGATCTTAAAAATTAAGAATAGTTAGGTTCGAAATGTAGACGGACATTTAGGAATTTTGAAGGTTAGAGTTGAAAGGTTTTTCTCAGATAGACAAAATACCGAGCGTTTAAATACCATATCCTTTTACACTAGAACATATCCTTTGTGAATCCCTATTTATTGAAAACTGAACATTTTCTTCCTGATCAATCAGTTTATTCGATATGTACGAGCACTGGTCAGACGGAATATCGATCGGATTTGATTTCATTGTGGGACCAATATCGTTTGTAGCTAACCTCATTCTGATTTACGTTATTCTCAAATACACTCCAGAATCGATAAAAACTTATGCGTTTGTTAATTTCAAAAGTTATTTACTAAAATGTTTTAGAATTTCAGATCAATTATTTTTGCACTCACTATATCCGATTGTTTGAGTTTTTGTGGCACCATGATGTCTTCGGCAAGGTATAAAACACTATAATATATTATCTTAAAATCCTTTATGTTATTTCAGATTACTGCCCCGTGGCAGTCAGCTGTTTTTCGTTTTCAGAGGATTATGTAAATGCTGTTTCCAAGATGACCTCGAGTTTCGATCTAAATCCTCTAAGGAATGATAGTTAAAAAATTAAATGAGATATTCCAGGGTACACTCTCTCTATTATCGCGGTGGTCAAACTTCCTGAAACCGGAAATTCTGTTACTGGTCTTTGGCTTGTTGAAGTGAGTAGCTCGCCCTTCAGAAAAAATATATTTATTTCGTGTTTTCAAATAAGATTATATACAATTTCTTTGCATTTTTTCTTACGTTTTTTGGTGAATAACCTCATGAAAAACGGAAATAGTCCATTAAAAAATCAAAAATGTTCCGAAAAAAAAGCTTTGGAAAAATTCAAGAAATAAACCCCGAAAAAACTAAATTAACAAAAAATTTGAAAAAGTTTTCGGTTCTAGCTAAAATGCCATTTATTTTCCTCTCTTCCAATCAGACGATGTTATTTGATTCAATTGTCAGAAACCCACCCAAAAATGCTAAATCAACTTCCCCCGGTGTCTACTCAATCTTCTCTCGAAAAATCATCGCTTTACCAGAGGATACTACGCATCCTAATTACCGAAACATGTTTCGATACTGTTCGTCATTTGGCACCATCGTCTCTTCTTTTTACCCATTTTCTTCTTCTTTTTCCGTCGACACGGGCGGTTCATTAGCCGGACTGTCCGAAGAAGCAATTATCGGTTGAAGCTGCCCTGGCTACTCGTCTTCTTCTTCTGACTTCTTGACGACGTCGTCTCTACAATACAATTCAATATATCCAGGTCACGGATTCCGGAGAGTGGAATACACTTTCTATTCAACCTTTTCTTCTTCCCGAGAAGAAAACGGCTAACGCTAGCCGCATTCATCTTTCACACTTTTCCATAATTCTGAAGATTCTCAAGAGTGTTTTTTCATTTGAACTGAACTTTTGATGCTTGTGATACTTTACTTGGGTTTTTGGTTCCAATTTTGCAAGGTAGGTAATATTGGCGCATTTCTATTATATGGTCATGGATTTTTGAAAATTCGCGGCTACGCCGCGATTTCCACTGGCTTCAGTTTAAATTCAAAAAGTTCCAATTATCATTTTATTTTTTGAAAATTTATTAGTAGAACAATTGATTAGAAGAACAATTCTAAAACCATAAAAAAGGGAAAAATCAGATCAACAATGATTCGGGGGTACAAAATTCGTGGGTACAAAAATTCGGGGGTACAACGATTCGGGGGTACAAACTACCAATGATTCTGGGGTACAACTCATTTCATTTAGGGGTACAACGCTTGTGATTCGGGGGTACAATTTTTTTTGAGGGGGTTTCTGAATTCCTGAATTTCAGAACTTTGGAATTTCAGTATTTCGGAATCTGAGAATTTCGGAACTTCACAGTCTGAGAATCTCAGATTTTCAGCACTTCAAAATCTCAGAAATTCGGACAGAATTTCGGTCCATTCTCCAGGGGTACATCGAAATAGGGTACATCATGCTCAAGGGGTACATTGACCGAGCGGGTACGCAGTCTGAAGGCGTACATCTAGGTAGTTGCACAAAAACAAAAAGTTCGGATCTGGTCGGGATTGAACTCGCGACTTCAGTTTTTCGTGCACCCACGCGCACCAATTCACCCAGTTTCCCTTCTCCCACCGCAACCTGTACATATTCGGTGGTTTCTAAAGCAGGAAGAAAGTGAAAGAGGTTGAGAAAAAACAACTTCCGGAAAATTTCCCACGACTATATCTGAAAATGGGCACAACGTAATTTAAAATTCTGAAATTCGGCACTGAAAATTTTCTGTTAGATTTCATGTAGTTTTTTTTTTCACTTCTGTAGTTTACAAAACTTTGTAGAGATGAAGGAAAAACCAATGAAAAGGCATGAATTCCGAGTTCTGACAGCAAAACTATGAAAAAAACCTATTATTTGTCTTCCGAAATCAGAAATAAATCGGAAATTAAGGGATTTTTGTCTGAAAAAAAGTTATTTTAGGCCAGGATTTTGATTTCAGCTGATTCCATCGTCGTTTCCAATCGCTCACTTCTGTACTTTATCTGTCTGTGTTTAAAATAATTTTTTATATAAGAAATTTGCTTTTTTTTCTCGAAAATGTGTCTTTTACTGCGATTTTTGTGTTTGAATCCCAAAAAATTGCTCGAAATTCTCATGGAAGAGTTTCCGGAATTTTCTAGGCCAGGGGCCGTTGTCGATTTACGGAGGCAATTTTTTCTATTTTTCCTCCTATTTTCTCGATTTTCAACGATTTTCGACTGTTTTTCGTATTTTTTTTTGCAGAAACTTGTGGAAGATTATGAATTTTTGGCTATAGCAGTAGTTCTGGTCACCATTTTCAGTCCTAGACTCATTTTTCGGACTATCAGACCTGTAACAGAAAATTGCCCGTCGAAACGACAGAAAAGATAATAAAAATTCATAAAAACTGATTTTCCACAAATTTCTGCAAAAAAAATTATGATAAACAGTCGAAAATCGTTGAAAATCGAGAAAAAAGGGGGTTATTTCTGATTTCGGAAGACAAATAATAGGTTTTTTTCATAGTTTTGCTGTCAGAATTCGGAAGAATTTAACTGCTACGACGTTCCCACGAATTTCCAAATTCGCATGACTTCTGAACTTTCTGGAGAGGTACTTGTTGTATGGGACCACATTTCTATTGTCCAGTTTAACAACTCCAGAATTTTTCGTTTGTCTAGAAATGTCTAGAAAGTTCTGGAATTTTCTAGATTGTTCTGGAATTTTCGAGAATTTTTTGGAATTTTCTAGAATGTTCAGGAATTTTCGAGAATTTTCTGGAATTTTCTAGAATGTTCTGGAATTTTCGAGAAAGTTCTGGAATTTTCGAGATTGTTCTGTAATTTTCGAGAATTTTCTGGAATTTTCTAGAATGTTCTGGAATTTTCGAGAAAGTTCCGGAATTTTCTAGAATGTTCTGGAATTTTCGAGAATGTTCTGGAATTTTCTAGAATGCTCTGGAATTTTCTAGAATGTTCTGGAATTTTCGAGAAAGTTCTGGAATTTTCTAGAATTTTCTGGATCTTTCTGGAAGTTTCTGCAATTTTCTGGAATGATGTAGAGCTTTCGAGAGTATTCTAAACTGTCCTGGAATTCTCTAGAATGTTTTGCAGTCGAAAAAAACACGGCAACCAAATTTACAGTAGGTCACAGAATTTGAGTTAATCACGAAAAAAATGTTACAAAAAAATTCTGTTGCGAAGCTTTCAGCTCAATTTTTTGTGGGCAGCACATAGATAGGCCTGAAAACCGTTTTTGAGAATTCCTTGAAGTTTTAGTGAGTTTCAACATAATTTTGAAATTTTCGATTCTCAACCCTATAGGTTCCCGATTAGCTAAAAGGCCCAGAACACCATGGACATGAAGCGCTCGGTAGTCCATGACTACATACCACACCATTATAGGAGTTCCATGCCCTTTGGAGTTATTCAAGTAAATGTCCGAGACAGACACACAGACACACACACAGAAAAGTTTCCTTAGTAAGAAGTAGATGTTTAAAGAAGAAAAAGTTGAAATTAAGAGAAAAAAGAATGAGGGTTATAGGGATTACTGTGGGTATCTGTAGACACTGTAAGATTTTAACATAAACTGGTTAACCTCAAAAAACTACTGTAAAGCCTATAGACCTACCATGAAATGTTTTTATTATAGGGTCGGGGATTCCAAAATTTTACGATAAATTTGAAATAGTGAAAAATTTGAAGAATAATTTTCTCGGGGTTTCTGCTTGAATTCGGTGAAGTTTCAGTATCAATATTGGTTCATACAGTAATCTAGTTTCTGCAAACACTGTAACTGCAGACAAAATCTTCTGGGACATGAACCATTTGATTCGAAAATGCAACAAGAATTTAACTTTTTAACGAGGTTTATACAAGGGATTACTGTAGGCACTGTAAGATTTTCCAAAAACTTGTTAAACCTCTTAAAATGGCTGCGAAGACTATACGAATAGGTACTTTAAGAAGGATCTCCTAATCCCTTTTTTTTGTATTCCCGCCGAAAAGAAACATAGAAAATAAATTATTTCAGCACTTTTCTAGTCGTGGCCTAGATTCTCTGTTTCGGTTTTTTCAAAACATTCGAGAATCTTCAAGAAATTTCCAGGAATCTGAGATTCGTCGAGTTTTTTATTCATTCTTCTCTGGATCTACAAACCTTTTTTAGAGAAGGTTTAATCCACGACTCATTGATTTTAAGATTTTTGAGAAACTTAAAGTTTGCATCTGAAATAGTAATTTCCGAAAATACACTGTTTCAACTATGTTTCTTGTTTCATAAAATCTGTATTATGGAATAGGATCTTACACAACTCAAAATACCACATACAGTAACCTATGAACTATTAACATTAAAACTATCTACAGTAACCCATTTCTTTCAGCATCCTCCCGTTGCTCAGCTCCAAATGCTACGACATATCTGCGTTCCGAAGGGACTCGTCTCATGGAATTCTCCACAAAAGTCTTGAAAGATGTGACGTTGAACGAGTGTGCAAATGCTTGTTCTAACTCGTTGGCGGTGAGCATGTTCAGAAAATTTATGAAAAAATTTTGCTGTTTCAACTAGGTCTTAAGTTTAAGTTTAGTAAGATGTTGCACAGGTAAAGGGGGACTACCGAAAGACTGCTAAATGACAGCTGAAGAGGCGCAAACTGGCCTGTGTGCCTGTGTGCATTGTATACTACTCGTAAATGCGGTGTAGTCGCTAAATAAAAATTATACGTTTTTTAGAGGAGACCTATTTCATGTGTGATCATAATTACCGTAAACGCTTAAATTGAATGACACCCCTAACTTTTAGATTTTAGCCAAGTTATCTTGGTTCCTGTTAGAGATATCGAAAGTCTGCCAACTGATAGAATATTGCTGATATTATGATAAACAGTTTGTCAGTTGACCACTTTTTGATATCTTTTACAGGAAGCGAGATATATGCGCTTAAAGTTGACGGGTTAGAGGCATTCTTTCACAATTTTGAGCTTGAGCCCATGTATCTCATTTTCTGGGAGAGATATCAAAAAGTAGTTTACTCATAAAATGTTGCTGATATTATGATAAACGTTTAATTATGTAGTTGACAACTTTTTGATATCTTTCAAAAGAATTGAGATATATAGGCTCAAAGTGGACAGTCCGGATGGCGTTCTATTAGAGTGTTTACGGTAATTGAGAAACTTCGCTTTTTAAATGTTTTTCTGAAGTTTTTACAAAAAATGTTCTCACTATTTCAATTTGGGCCTAACTACTGGCTCAGCAAGTGAGAATTAATAAATAAGGTATGCAAAAAAGTGGTATGCAAAAACAGAATTTCACGGAAGCCGGAATTTCGATGAACCTAGTTAAAACCTATCCCTCCAACTCTGATTTTTTTTTCAGGCCGAAGAATGTCTTTCATTCGAATACGACGCCTCGATTCTTCAATGCTCACACCATTCAGACGATGGTCAGCCTTTTGGAGCATCGGTTCTAGCAAAAGCATCACAAACGATATCGTTCTTTCAACAGATTTGTTTATTGGGTGAGTAATTGAGCTATGACTTGTGTTCATATTTAAAAACGGGACATGCCATAATTTCTTTTAGAATCAATATTTTCTTTTTAGCTAGATTAAATATGACACAACTCAACAATTACTACAAAATGATACTATTTTAAAAATTGTATCTTGTCTATGAAAAAAGTTACAAGCCATAAAAATGTGGAAGTGTAACTCAGCAGGTTTTTTGACTTGTAACTTCGTTCATAAACAAGATACAGTATTTCAATTAATATCATTCTGTAATACTCGTGGAAAAGATGGCCGGCCCGCGGGCCGGACCGGGCCGGGCCGGGCCGGGCCATGGCCGGGCTGAGATTTTTCTGAAAGCGGGCCGGGCCGGGCCGGAAAAAATTACACATGGCCAGCCCGCTTTTTGAAAATTTCGAAATTGTAGAGCAAATCATCATTTTTCAAGATGGCTTTTCTCCTTAATAAATAAAAATCCACATTAGAGGACGATTCTGTCGAAAAAACTGTTTTGAGGTCGTTTTTAGAAAAAAAATTCATCCTTGGCTTAATGAAGTTTGATTTTTTTGCTAAAAATTCAATTAAATTGACTTTTTCGGATGGTTGTATGCATTTGGATTAATATTTTTGCTATTAAAAATGTATTGACACGTTTGAAAAGTAACATTTTCGAAAAGTTGTCCTAGGCGGGCCGAGCGGGCCAGGCCGGGCCGGGCCGAGGGTTTGGAGGCAAGCGGGCCGGCCCGGCCATCCACATGTATGAAATAAAAACTAAGTTTGAAAAATTGGAAAAAAAAAACTTTTTTCTGTTTCACAATGTTTGTAGAACCAATTAAAGGAACACTCAATGATTTGTAGTTATTAGAATGTGAAACTTCCAGAAAATTACAGAAGAAGCGGTCTGCAACGCCCCATATTCATTCGAACGCTATCCTCAATCTGTTCTCATCGGTCATGCAATGAAAGTGATTACGGTAGACGGTCTCTCTGACTGTCTCTCAAAATGTGCATTATCCCAAAAAACGTACAATTTTCTGTGCAAATCTGCAATTTACTACTATGAAACTGGAGAATGTATTATGAATCGAGACAGCAAATTCATCTATCCAAAACTGTTCAGGACGAATATTTTGGACACTTTGGTCGATTATTTTGAGAATAATTGTGCGGATGGTGAGTCAAAAAAGTGTAGTTGGTTTTTGAAATAAAAAAAAATAAAATTTCGTTACTGTCACAAGCAGGTCATTTGTACAATCAAACTTTAGTTATAGTATTATTTCTCGTCTGTGGTTTGCTTTCTAGACCATTTTAACATGAGGGCCTAACTTTTCCAAGTTGAGTTTTCCAGGCCATTATAATAAACGGAATAGAAAACACACCATGTGAATATCAGGCTCTTTTTAGGCCATGGTGGCCTAGAAATCTCAACTTGCAAAAGTAAGGCCACCATGTTAACATGTCCTAGTGAACACATTGGGAGAACCGTGCTAAAAAAATACTACGACAATCCGAAACAACGCACAGCGCTCAGTTTAGTCTTTCAAACGATTTCCAGAATTAATATTCGAAAATATTTCCTTTTCCAGTTTCCTGTCGCTCATCAGAAACCCTTCATTGGGTCCGTACCGAAGAATATTTGATCGACGAATCCAAGGACGTCATCGTGGAAAGCTCAGATGCTCAAGAATGCAATCAGTTGTGCCAATCCAACAAAATCGGAGAGGAACGATTTCCGTGTAAAGCGTTCGCTTATAGTAATTCCAAACAGGAGTGTCATTTGACAGCGGAAAGTAGTTACGTGGGACACAGTACGTTTTCTTTGAGAGATTTGATATCTAACAGATATGGTTCAGAAGGCGACAAGAGATTCAATTTGGCACCATTGAATAGTGGAGAGTATTTTGAAAAGTATTGTTTGCCAAGTAAGTTTTTTTTGGTGTAGTAATTTGAAGTTTTGACTTCAATTTAAAAAATCTGTAATTTAACAATTTTTGACTTCTTCAAAATTTGATTCTATACGGCTACCAGTTCGTCTATCTTCTCCACAACAATTATGAAAACTTTATCTACTAATTGAAAACGAAAAAAAATTCATTAAATATTGAAAATTAGGATTAAAAAAAAATTTTTGCAGTTCCAGGTAATGCATGAAAGATTGAGGAAAAAGGGTTTAATTTATTTTTCGTGCTTTCCATTAATATCAATCCGCACTTTCTAATCAAACTAACTTTTTTGAAAAGCTTCTGGAAAATTTTGGAAATTTTTTGAGCCGAAACTGAAAATGAGGGTCTTTTGAAAATGCCCACAAGTCTTACGACTCCGCATGGCTCCAGAGTTTTCTGTCTTTCGAAAAATTCGAAAACCGATCAACCGACATCATACTTCATTCCTGCCCCGGACGCACCAATAACCTTGAGTTGCATTCTCTAGAAACCTGCCCACAGAAACTGTAAAACAATTAAACTTCAACGAATCAAAACACCCACTTTTCAGCAAATCTGCAATGCATAGAAGCAAGTTTCGAACTGGTTGCCAATCGAATGATGACGAGTGCCTACAAAACGATTTCAGCACTTTCTCAACACGAATGTTTGAGTCAGTGCATGAAGGATGGAGCAAGATGTTCAAGTGCCACTTATTTTTATATGGATGTTAGTTTTCCAGTTTCAAAAAAGTTTTTCTCATGTGAAAAGGGGATTCCGACTTGAAATTCCCATTGTAATTGCTGTAAAAAGTGGCCAAACCTCGAGAAATCGGAAGAAATCTCACAATGATCTCTAGTCAATTTTTAGAAACTTCTAGAAGGTTCTAGAGTTGGGTTTATCAAAAATTCCCACCAGAAAATTCTAGGCTTCCTCTGAAGATATGTAGGATATATAAAACGGAGAGTATTCAGTTTTGGCGAGAGCTCAAAAGAAAATTCATATCCTGTCTGTGAGAATGGACCAATGAGAACTTTCTCGAAAATATAATAATTTATAACTGTAACAGTCCGAATAATTTTCAGGACGAATGCCAACTATCCGACATATCCCAATTCTCAAGACCCAACGAATTCGTAGTGGCCAACTTCACAGATTATTTTGATAAAATCTGTGATCCCACAGACCCCAAAATAATGATAACCACACCTGAAACACCACCGGAACTAATTCAAAATAGTGTGGATGAGCCAGAAACAACATCCCAGAAGAGTGTTGCTCAAGGAGCCGCCAATTTCGAAGTGTCCACAACAGGAAACAGTGTAGAATTTGAAGATGACAATCTTCTAAAGGATAATCAAGCGATAGAAGCAGTTCATGGAGTGACGACTACTACGAATCTAGGAGATCGAAGAGAAACGAAAGCAGAAGTCGAAGGAACAGTGATAGATGATGCTGATGATTTCTCCCGAGAGATTGAAGATTCTAGGGAGAAATCTCCACTGACGTCTTCTGAAGAATCAGAGGGACGAGTGAAGGCAAGATTGTCAACCGAATGTCGAATGTCTGGGATTTCAGTGGCGATTAAGTTTGCGGCACCAACGTCAGGGACTATTTATATCAAGGTTTGCTAGAAAAATACGGATAAGGGATAGGCGAAGCAGTGGTTTTTTTTTTCAAATTCTAAACTTTTGCTTAGAACTGTTACAGCCCAGGTTTCAAAATTTCACAAGCTTCACAAAAAAATAAGTAGAATTCACAGTTCAAGTTGTAATTTTAAAAAAAAGGTGATTTTTTGCCAATCGATTTATCGAAAGGTTATGATTTACTTTTTTCAAGATTGAAGTATTTTGGAAAGCTATAGAAACCCTTTCAAGTCATTCAATAGTACAAAAATGAATAAACTGTTCAATATTTTGCATCAAACAAGAAGCAAGCAGAGTAGGTGAGAATCTTCTATCAGATTGGCTCCGACTCCCAAAATTTTTGACAAAATTGATTTCTCTGGAAATCACAAAATTCTGTTACAAACTGTCTACATGTATATCCCTTTCTCGATTACATCAGTCTCATTCTTATACACTGCGTAACATAATTATAAGTTCACTTAAAATTTTGAATTTTTTCGAAAACTGTGAATATGGACTGAACAGGATATGATTGAAGTAAATACTAATTCGGATTGTCAATTAATGAATACCATTTGAGACCGCTACCATTTCTTCAATTTGGCAAAATTAAAAAAATCGAAAAAATGGCCCGAAAAAAACGTCACATATAAGTTCACTTGAAACAATGAAAGATAACTCAAAACACAGATTTTAAAATGTAATGAAAATACGAAATATAGCAAAAAGGGATCAAAATGTATTCATTAATGTGAAAAATTTGGTTGTATCTATACTCAAAATTGGGCCACATCCGTTTTTGACAAACATGTACTGAAAATGAAGTTTTTCGTTAATTTTTCTAATTTTATCTCATTTTTACCACTATGTTCTGAGTGGTAATGCATCTTTCTAGGTAGGCACCTGATTGAGCTGACTAGCATAAGAGGAAGCCATTTTAGTGTTCATACAGGAACATACATTGAACTATGAAAACCTGTATTTTGGATTCCCGGAACCATGCAACATTTCTGACAGACATAGTTTCAAGCATAAAAATATGCAATGCGGAAGCCATGTTCACAGTGTTGTTTAGTAAGGAAGGAGTCACGAATTCTATATTTTCTTCTTGTAATCATCCTTGCCACCTTTTGAATTTACACATAGAAAATTTAGATTGTTCAAAAAGTTCCACTCTACACATACAATAAACCTTTAAAAATGTCATTTTTACAAAATCTACCGATTTTTAAGCTCGTATACTACCCCCAGAATCCATTCCCTTGATTTCAAAGTTGCTGAAAACATTGGAAATGTCCAAATTTATGTTTTTGTAGTTGATGTCCCTTTCCAAAGCATTCATTGTAGAAAGATATACAGTACCGTATAAAAGGATGTAAACGTAAGGCATTTCGTCAGATTTTTCCCCTCAAAGTGGACCTATCGGAATGAAACTTTTCAAATATTATGTCTGCACATGCATAAATACTTATGCTGAATCTCATCAAAAAATCTCAAGGAAAAAACATTCTAGAACTTTTTTTTGGTTCTCCAAAATTTCGAAAAAAAACTTTTTTTTCAAAATTCTACAAAATTGGGAAGTTGGTTTTTTGTGTGTTTACAATAAGCATCTTGCTACGAAATGTCTTAATATTGGTGAAAACGGCAAAGTCGATCATCCGCAAAGTGATTCAGAAATTCCAGAGTGATTCATAAATTCCATTTTATTCAGAAATTCCGATTGGTTCACTTTGAGGGGAAAAATCTGACGAAATGCCTTACGTTTACATCCT